CATGATTAATTTACGACACTACAAAATGCACAAAAACTCGTTAATCTAAAAACCATTGGGTTGATAATAAAACATAAAACCTTTGGCTGCTGCTTATCCGTGTCTTGTCTCTTCATTATTCAAAATTTGACAGCTCTTTAATTTTTTGTTTCAACTATTGATCCCATTGATAGATTTTCGCATTAGTAGCGGCCGAGGTAATTTTATCACATCATATCCCTTAGTAGTCTAGTCTAGTACTACTACCCATATAACCAAATTTCTGTCACTAAAGACAATGAATTGAACTTTTGGATCCGAGCAGGGTATTAAATTCAACATTTCATTGAGAGCAGTGAATTGACATTTTCATACTATCATGAAAAAAATTGACAAAAATTAAAAAAAAAAAAGATTCAACAAAATATTACTAAGGTTACTAATTTTAACTATTAATCTTTTAACGACAAAAGAATATTGAAGGGAATGCAATGAATTTACAATATCCCCATCTTGATTTTCTTTTATTTTTGTATATATAACACATAACTAAAAAAACTATCTGCCCACACGTACATCTCATCGGTGGTGCCCAGGCGCTGATTCATCACTATTGTTGTTGGTAGGGATTCCCCGCCATGGCCTCCGCCGTCGCCGGCACCACCCCCGTCGTTTCATGGCAGCCGGAAATTACCCATTTGACCAAAATTCGATTCCCAAAATCCATTGGTCAGCTTCCACCAAGCTCTGCAAATCATTCATTTATCTATATTACATTTAATAAATATAAGAGAGTTCTCCAATATTTTTGGTTGAAATAAAAATAGCAGATTGTACATATTGGAAGTCAAATTTTCGAGTTAGACCTTATAATTAATTTTATAAAATTATTATTCTTTTTCTAAGTCCCAAATTGCTTTGAACCAAGCTTCCGTAGTTTCATAATAGAATGCAAAATAAATATAAAAATTAAGAGATACAAGATTAAAATTGTTACCGTAAATTTTATTTACAAAATTAAAAGTCTAAATATAAATTTTTTACTAGAGTCCCAAGTTTCCTTAGTCTAGCCTAGCTACCTAGTTTTTATTTATTTATTTTTATTATTATTTTTGAACTACACGGAAATAGCAAAACTAAGAAAACATAATGCAATCAACAATTACACTAATAGACGTCTAAGCGAAATTTAAAAAAAAAATTATTTAGAATTAGGAAAAAGAAATATAGGACAATTATTAGATGATCATAACTATATTGTATTAGTGATATTTAAAAAATATACATATATTTTCAAATTTAACATTAATTAATTAGTTTTGCTGTTAAATTGGGGTGGTTAATAATATATGGATGAGAAAACAGTGGTGCTGTAGAATATATAAGAGGCCACTCTGGAGATTATTCTAACCTAAATAATTTGTGGTGTGGGGTTTATTTGAGAGTTTGACCTCTTCCCAATCTTTTTATATCCAATAACTAAGTCAGAACCATAAAAATAAACTAACAACAATAATCCCTTAAAATTTTCATGCACAAGCTGTTCCTATTTTAGGCAAAGTCCACGACATATAAACCCACCCCCATGCAACCCAATTATTTCCATCACCTTCTTCCATCCAGTTCCATAAGGAAAATAAAAGTATTCCTGCTCAAAACCCACTCTTTTTCCATCGTTTCGGTGGAAAAATTCTTCGACCTGGGTTTTGATTTTTTATCAAACGATTGAAACAAAACCCGCTACTTTTTTCCTACCATTTTGGTTGGAAAATTTGTTCTACATGGGTTTTGAATTTTAATCGTAGCATTAGCAGGAATACTTTCCCTTTCCACAACTAAATTGGAACGACAAAAAAAAAAAGAAAAAGAGGGTTAAAAAATGGTGGGAAAAGCGGCAGTGTCGGTTCTATCCCTTATTTTAGTGGTGGGAGTTGCTTTGGCAGTGGTGGCAGTTGTTAACATGAACAAATCCGGCAGTTTGGACACTGAGAATATGTCCCCCAAAATGAAAGCTATTGCTTCCATATGTTCTCAGACTGATTACCAAAAAGAATGTCAAGATACTCTGGGGGTCCTGGCTAAGAATTCTACCTCGGACGACCCGAAGGAGTACATTAAAACAGCTATTATGGCGACTGTTGATGAGATTAAGAAAGGGTTCAATTTGACGGACTCCCTTATGGTGGAGGCTGGTAACAGTGCCTTCATGAAGATGTCGGTTGAAGATTGTAAGGATTTGCTCCGCTTTGCGGTTAGAGAGCTCCAGGCTTCTTACTCCAGCGTTGGGGCCAACGATGAGCGCTCCCAAGAGGAGCGAGTCTCGGATATCAATACCTGGCTCAGCGCCGTCATTTCTTATCAGGAATCTTGCCTCGACGCCCTTGGAGAATCCAACCCCAAGCTCAAAGAAACCATGGGAGCTGGTAGTCTCGACTTTGCAACCAAGCTTACCAGCAACGCTCTCGCTATTTTCTCTGAGGTCTCGAAGATTCTCGGTAATTATGGCCTGCAATTAAAGGTACTCTACCGATACACATATACCACCATAGTCTGTACTAAATCACCACTAAACTTAAAAACTCTAATAATTTAAGTTTTATTAACAGGCCCCTCAGCCAAATGGACGCCGTTTGCTCGGACACACAGAAGTGGGGAGCGACGGTTTCCCAACATGGTTTTCCAAGGCGGACAGGAAGCTGCTGGCGGCGGCGAGGAGAGGAGGAGGAGGAGTGGTGGGAGTGAAACCGAACGTGGTGGTGGCAAAGGACGGGAGTGGGAATTACAAGACCATTGGTGCAGCATTGGCTGCAGCTCCAAAGAATTCCAAGACACGATATGTGATCTACGTGAAAGCAGGGATCTATGATGAGTATGTCACTGTAACTTCAGACTTGACCTACATTTTCATGTACGGAGATGGCCCGAGAAAAACCATCGTCACTGGCCGCAAGTCCGCCCGCGACGGCATCAACACCATGAACACCGCCACCTTTGGTAAGATATTTTTCTCAAAATCACTCATTCCATGCCATCATTGCCAAACACACCTTTACTTATTAATTACTACTATAATTGCAGCTGCCGTTGGATTTCACTTCCTCTGCAAAGCAATGGGATTCCAAAACACAGCCGGTCCGGAAGGGCACCAAGCGGTGGCCCTCCGCGTCCAGTCGGACAGATCGGCGTTCTATGAATGCCGAATAGACGGCTACCAAGACAGTCTCTACGCCCAAACTAACCGTCAATTCTACCGCAACTGCGTCATCTCCGGCACTGTCGATTTCATCTTCGGCGAGTCGAGCACCATCATCCAGAACAGCCTCATCATCGTCCGGCGGCCGATGCAGGGCCAGCAGAACACGGTGACCGCCGACGGGCGCAAGGAAAACAGGGAGCTCAGCGGGCTGGTGATCCACAACTGCCGAATCGTGCCAGAGCAGAAGCTGTTCGCGGACCGGTTCAAGATCCCCACATTCTTGGGACGGCCGTGGAAGAAGTACGCACTGACAGTAATCATGGAGAGCACATTGGGGGATTTGATCCAGCCCGCCGGGTACATGCCGTGGGAAGAAGATTCCCGAGACACGTGTCAGTACCTGGAGTACGCAAACAGGGGACCGGGAGCCAACACTGCGAGGAGAGTGAAGTGGAAGGGMGTTAGGGTTATTGGAAGGAACGAGGCTCTTAAGTTTACGGTTGGATCACCATTTCTCATCGGAAATGTCTGGCTTCCGGAAACCCGCGGAAAATTCTTACCTGGATTGAAGAACTAGAAAAGAGAGATCCACTAACCCGCCATTCTTATCTCACCAATTATTGTTAATTCAACACATTTGGATTTTTTGTATCTCTTTGTGGGATGCACACAATTACAAGATGTGTTTACATGTTATGAATCTTCATATAGTTAATCATGTTGTTTACTCATATTAACTTACTTAAGCCAACGCTTAGTCCATCATTTGATTTTATTTTATTTCATTAGTACATATTAAGATTTCTAAAATGCTCAAAAAGATGAAATCTTGCACGAAAATATTTTGAGTAATTCAAATTAATGGCCAAAACCGCAGTTTTAAGTCTCCGGTAATCGATAAGGGGTGAGGATCAAATCTTGTCTTTCCCACCTTGAAAATTTGACAACTTATAAAAAAAATTATCTTTCAATTTCTTTCAATTTCATACATTTAATGGTAACACTGTTAAGGAGCCAAAGTATTCTCCGCTGTCTTTTTAAACATATGGCAAGAAATAGTAATAACTATTTTTTTTTTTTATGATGAACGGTTTTGCATACAAAGTTACCTCTTCAACATTTTTGTTTTGGTCATGTGTGAAAATTTTAATAAATATTGTTCTATCTTTAATATGTAAGCATTTTATTTTTGTCATATATTTAAAATTATCAAGATATATAAATTGTCAAAAAAACAACGATATAATGTTAATTAGAGGATAACTAGAATTGTTGTTTTTAATTATACGCATCTTACTTGTCTTACTTGCCTCGTACAATATATTAATATTTGAAGAAGGGACAATTTTAATATATATAACAATGCTCCTAGTTTTGTTTGATTCATGAAAGATATACTTTGAATAATGAGGAATATGAATGAGCAAATGTTTACTACTTAATTACTTTTTTTTACATTATTTATTTGTACTCATTTATCTTAATAATTATAAGAGATTTCTTTAATACTTTTGATGAATAAAAATATCACATCATCGAAGAACACCCAACACGAACAATAGATCAACACCTTATTGGGAAATTAATTGACCTGAATAATTTCCTATTCCACATAAAATATCCAACACAATCAAGAATATGCAAATAAGAAAAAAACAGTAAACACAAGCAAATGACACAGCAAATTAGTCTAGTCTTCCACTCAAATTTGGGTAATTGACTAATATTGTTAAGGATTTGATACAATAACACTCCCCAAAATATCCCCAGGAATGAAAAACCCACAATAATCAAGATCTGATTGTCCCGAATATGTTGACCTTGATGAGCCTCAATGTCTCTGCCAGTGCCTGAGCCTTTCCCTTGAAACTGCCACGAAACCCTCTAAAAAAGGGCTCAAAATCAGCGGGACAATAATCCCTTTTTCGGCTGCAAAACCCTAGACCCGAAACTGCACTTATATAGACATCGAAACAGCACCATGGTGTTGTCCCCGGTGCCATGGCGCTACAGACAAAAAAGTCCGCCTACGCCACCATCTGGACAGCGTCGCGACGTTGCCTCTTCGGCCCTCGGCCTGCAGCTTCCGCTTCTCCCCTATTTTCATTTTGCTTCGACCCCGATGCATCCCGACTCGATCCGACTTTTCCGTAACTCGATTTGACGTCGTTTTGACTCCACCAATCCCAACACACCTAAATGTGTGGTGCTAAGCCGAACTCTAATGTCTCACAAGTCAGGTGGTCTCACCCTATTCCAGTTGAGTGGTCGAGACCAATTGTCCCAACTCATGTCAATACGGTAATTTCATCCATGACAGCACAACTTGAAAAACATTGAAAGCCAAAAATTCGATAATTTATTATTAGAGGTGTGGTTGAAACCATTGCACATATTCTCTTTTAACAGGGTCATCTCTTTATTTTATTTATTTAATTTTTTTTAGTACTAGAGGTATATATCAATTACGAGCTATGTTCGCTTTGACAAAATATGTCAATTATCTCTTTATTAATGTTATACATTCAAAATTATCACAATATAGTGTTATTGGAATCAAATTATTAAATTACCAAATGAAAGGTAGATATGTCCTACTTCCATGGTAATTTTTAATTATACTCATATCCGTTACTTGTATTTGTACTTGGGATCACGATATTAATTAATATGTTATTATTATAATTATTATTATTTTGAAAAAGAATTAATATGTTATTTGAAGGAGTGATCCTTTTAATTTGTTTTTTATAATTGATAACAACAATATAATGATCCTCTAGGTACGGATAATATGTGTTGATTATGAAGAAAAAAATACATGTTTGGTATTCATTTGGTTTATGTAAGAGATTTCTATAATATTTTTAGATGAATAAAAATAGCACAAGAAATGTATGAATGGGAAGCCAAATTAACTTTCAAGAAATTATAAGATATATGCTGAACCACATCTCACCTTATAACTAATTTTATTGAATGATATTTTTTCTGCTAAGTCCCAAATTGCCTTCATAGCAGTGTGTGGCAGTTTCATAACAGAACTAAAAATAAATATAAAAACTAAAATTGTTAACATAAATTTAATTTACAAAATTAAAAGGCTAAATATAAATTGGGGTAAAATATACTTACTTTTAGTTCGGATAAAATTTTATTTGGATCCTAAACTTCAAAAAGTGACAAATTAGTCCATATCCTTTAACAAAATTGTTCTAAAAAGATCTCGAGTTAAACTTTCGTTAATGTTACTAACGGAATGTTGAAATAGCTTTTGAAGTCTCTAAATACATGGCATTTTCATTTTGTATTTTTTCTAATTGAAAAAAAATACTAATTTACGGCCGTAATCTAACATGGGCTTGCAGCAGCAAAATCGGAGAAGAAGAATTTGGGGAGGAAAAAAGATAAAGAGGGAGTAGAAAAATGGAAAAAATACCTCCCATCACATAAAAGTAATATAAAATTATTTAATATTGTCATGTCATTTAAAATTTGTCAACTCAGTTATTCCACATCATTTTTCCATTAGTCATCTAATAGATAAATAAGTTCATGGACCATCTAGAATCACTCTCTAATGATTCGAGACTAAACTGTCACTTTTAAAAAAATTTAAGATCAAATATAAATTTTATCGTTAAAAGGGACAAAAAGCGCACTTTACCCTATTTACTAAAAGGCCCAAGTACCATTGTCTAGTCTAGTTGAAACATAACGCGGTCAAACAATTTAACACACCCATTAGCCATGAATGCCAAAATTTAATAAAAAATATATTTAAAATTAATATATATATATATATATTTATTTATTTATTTTAAGTAGAACATGTTGAGTGAAAATTCAAACTCACTATAATTTAATCCGAGATTAATACTTTAACGGGTGTAATTTTGTTCAAATTAGCCAGGAAAAAGAAATATTGTTTGACAATTATTGGATGATATTGATAACTATATTGTAGTAGTGAAGTTCAAACGGCATTTTGTTTGTTTATTTTTTTTTCCGTTTCCTTCAACTGCCCCTCTTTTTTTTTATATTAATAATAATATTCTTTTATTATTAAATTATATTAATAATATTGTGTTTTGATTTATCTTATAGATTATTCCGCTTACTTCAAGTGTCTGCCATTTTTTTTATATTACTATTTTCTTTTAATAATATTATTTCTATTATTTTATCGTAATGTGTTTTGTTACCATCAAAATAATAATTTTCTCTGTTAAATTCAAATCATATTTAGCTCAATCCTTAATTATTCGAAATGTCACATCGTCTATTATTAAATAATTTCAGAGTAACAATAACTTTCTCATCCAAATATTTTAGAAAGAAATAATAAAATAAAATACATTGTTTGAAATTTCATTGATCAGAATCAAATAAATCTGACAATTTATAGATAATAATTAAATTTAAATATAATTTTTAGTATTAAAAAAAGAGGAAAAGGTAAAAAAAAATAAATGAAATCAAAAGTTGCCGGCAAAAAGGAGTTGTAAGGAAGATTTGCAAATACCCGGTGGTAATGGACCTGATATTTAATAAAAGGTAAAGGATAATTTTGTCTAAAAAAAATTATTTTTTTCTCATCTGAATCTCTATATACTAATATACTAAATAATATATCACTAATTGTAAAAAGAAAGGTATGTATATGTATATATATATATATATATATAAAATGCAAAAAAATATATATTTTCCTTCTTGATAATTGCAAAACAAACACAGCTTTAAAATTGAATTGTAACATCTCAAATCAAATTGAATTGTAACATCTCAAATCAGTGATTCATAATATAGATTGACTCATGCATGTTCTCTTTGTTATTCTAACATCTTGAATTACTTTTGAGATTACGTAGACTTAAAAAAGGAAGGAAATGAAAGATAACAAAAGTAAAAAATAAACAAAAATAAAACTCATACTGCTAGTGGAAAATGGTGCAAGAACTCTTTTTTACAATAAGAGGATGAGATGTAGTTATAAAGTTTTTTAAAATTCTATAATTAATTATGACCGAAGATAAATCTATAAATAAACTTGTTATAACCCCTTAACGCATACATTTCTTTTCTTTTACTTTATTTTATATTATGGTAATAAAATTAATATGTACTATAAAAAAAATTCATTAGTTGCTTATATATTACAAATTGATAAATTTATTTTCTTAATTAGTAAAATTATAAAAATAATAAAATATTAATAAAATATGTTGAAAGTGACAATATATAAAATATCTTAAATTAATTATCTCATATCACTTTTTAATGAATTTTAGGTTACATTTCGTTATTTTTAATATTTTAATTAAAAAATAAATAGGTATTTTAAGATTTTTATTGTTAAAATGTTTTTTTAGATATTTTGTTTGTTTATTAAAGATTCTAATGATTTTTAGAGCTAACATTTTGTTATTATTGTACTTTTTAACTTTGAGATCAAATTAATTTATCGATTTAATATAATATTATGATTAAATTTATTAATGAAAGTTTATTTAAATTATATTATTATGAAATGACCAAAAAATTTTTATCCCACCTTTTAAGATTCCACACAAGTTATTGTTGATAATTAATTTATTAATTTACTAATTTACTATTTAATTATTTAACACATTTTGATGTATTAACTTACATTAATTTTTTTCAACAACAAGAACATGAGCTTGTAAAATAAAATTGCTCAAACGAAAAACTTTCTAAATAAAAAAAATACACCAATTATAAAAGAACAATAAAAAATAATAGTAACAAAAAAAATTTAAATCCTAACTATACACTAATCTTTTAGATTACATATACTCACTCACTTGATAATTGCTTGACAAATACTATTATTAAACTTCATAAAATTGTGGAACGGTGATGTCGCAAGCCAACTATTCGAGATATATATATTGACATGTGAATCCATTACAACTTAATGAATTACATGCATCTCTTGCAACTTGATGTCTATCCATCTCTTGCAACTCTAGATGAATATGCCACCAACATCTCGAGATGTTCTCAAGATTCAATAATCTTTGAGAGATGATTTGAGAGAAGTAAGAATAAAGTACTGAAACTCTAAGTGTGTTGTGAAAAATATAGTGGAAGAAAGTCTATTTTTATAGTAGTAGATGATAAGAAGTTACAAAATCTTTTGAAAGTATAAGACTCTTGAAATTCTAGTATGAATTATAATTAAAGAAAAATTAATTTTATGTTGTAGGAAAACATTTTGCATTCTAACCTTTTAAATTCTATGCCTTTATTAGTATTGATAATTAATAATTAATTTAATATTTATAATAATATATTAATGACTTAATTTGTAAATTAGTAAAGAAAAAAATTAATTTTATGTTTGTGGGAAAACTTTTCCCATTCTAATCTTTTATAAATTTATTAGTATTGATAGTTAATAATTAATTTAATATTTATAATAATATATTAATGACTTAATTTGTAAATTACTAAAATTAGTAAGGGATAAAAGTGTCAAAAAATGTTTTTCCTACCTCCTCCCTTCTAATATAGTATAGATATAGATATTATGATATTATAGATATAGATTATTTAGAACTTAGTTGTAAATTATAATATTTGGGTTATTCTTCAGTAATTTTTTTCTAATTTCATAAAAATTTAAATTGACGGTCTACAACAGTTTAAAATATAATAAAAACTTTATATCAAACGTCAAATATAATATCTGAATAAGCCAGAAAATAATAAAATGTTAAAATATACCTGTGTCTTTAAACAAAATATTCTGAAGAATATCTCGGTCTTTGAAAATCCAAACAAATTCAGAAATTAAGACGCATTCACGTACGATCAAACGGCCACAGGAAATTGTAACCACTGCTTCAAATTATCCTAATTTGTGGGGTTTATTCGACAGTTTGACTTTTCCCAATTCCTCCGTATCCAATAACTCAGTCCAACCTCTAAAATTAAACTGTTCATTCATAAGCTGTTCCTATTTTAAGCAAAGTCCACCACTATATAAACCCACCCATGCAACTCAATTTCCCATCACCTCCTTCATCCACTTCCATTACAAAAACCCAAAAAAAAAAGGGAAAAAAAAAATCTTCCTGCTCAAAACGGTGGGAAAACTTCTGCCATCTGGGTCTTGATCTTTGATCAACGACCCACTTGCAGAAAGACTTCCCATTGCCATAACAAGTTGGAGGGACCAAAAAATAAAATAAAATAAAAATGGGGACAGCGGTGGTGTCGGTTCTATCACTTATTTTAGTGGTGGGAGTTGCTTTGGCAGTTGTGGCAGTTGTTAACAGGAACCACGGCAGTTTTGACGGCGAGAATTTGTCCCCCAAAATGAAAGCTGTGGCCACTATATGTTCTCATACTGATTACCAAGAAGAGTGTCAAAATACTCTGGGCAGCATCGCCCACAATTCCTCCTCGGACGACCCGAAGGAGTACATTAAATCAGCGATTATGGCCACTGTTGAGGAGTTTAAGAAAGGGTTCAAATTGACGGACTCCCTTATGGTGGAGGCTGGTAACAATTCCTTCATGAAAATGTCGGTTGAAGATTGCAAAGATTTGCTGCAGTTTGCCGTTGAAGAGCTTCAGGCTTCTTACTCCTCCGTCGGGGACAGCGATGAGCGCTCCCAAGAGGAGCGAGTCGCTGACATCAATACCTGGCTCAGCGCCGTCATTTCTTATCAGCAATCTTGCCTCGACGGCCTCGGAGAAGCCAACCCCAAGCTCAAAGAAACCATGGAAGGTGGTATTGACATTGCACGCAAGCTTACCAGCAATGCTCTAGCTATTGTCGCCGACGTCTCGCAAGTTCTCGGCGACTATGGCCTGCAATTGAAGGTACTGTACATATATACATATGCATACTTGAATTAAATCACCTCTGTAACTCAAAAGTTTTACTAATTTAAATTTTATTGATAGGTCCAACCAACTGGACGACGTTTGCTTGGAAACACAGAAGTGGGGAGCGATGGGTTCCCCACATGGTTGTCAGGAGCAGACAGGAGGCTGTTGGCGGCAGCGAAAGGAGGAGGAGGAGGAAAAGTGACGCCCAATGCGGTGGTGGCGAAGGACGGGAGCGGGCAGTACAAGACCATTGCTGCAGCATTGGCTGCAGCCCCAAAGAATTCCAAGACACGACACGTGATCTACGTGAAAGCAGGGATCTATAATGAGTTTATCATTGTGACTAAAGACTATACAAACATTTTCATGTACGGAGATGGCCCAAGAAAAACCATCGTCACTGGCCGCAAGTCCTTCCGTGACGGCATTACCACCATGAACACCGCTACCTTTTGTAAGATGTTTTTTTCAAAATCACTCATGCTACCATCATTCTCAAACATATTTTTACTTAATAATTACTACTATAATTGCAGCGGCCGTTGGAAATGGCTTCCTCTGCAAAGCAATGGGATTCCAAAACACAGCCGGCCCGGAAGGGCACCAAGCGGTGGCTCTCCGCGTCCAGTCCGACAGATCGGCATTCTTCAACTGCCGAATGGACGGCTACCAAGACACTCTCTACGTGCATGCTAACCGTCAATTCTACCGTAACTGCGTCATCTCCGGCACCGTGGACTTCATCTTCGGCGACTCGAACACGATCATCCAGAACAGCCTGATCATCGTCCGGCGGCCGATGGACAACCAGCAGAACACGGTGACCGCCAACGGGCGCAAGGAAAACAAGGAGTTCAGCGGGCTGGTGATCCACAACTGCCGAATCGTGCCGGAGCAGAAGCTGTTCGCGGACCGGTTCAAGATCCCCACATTCTTGGGGCGGCCGTGGAAGGAGTACGCGTTGACGGTGATCATGGAGACCACATTGGGGGATTTCATCCAGCCGGCCGGGTATATGCCGTGGCAAGGTACATTTGCCCTAGACACGTGTCAGTACCTGGAGTACGCAAACAGGGGACCGGGTGCCAACACTGCAAGGAGAGTGAAGTGGAAGGGGGTTAGGGTTATGGGAAGGAACGAGGCTCTTAAGTTTACGGCTGGATCGCCTTTTCTCCTCGGGAAGGAGTGGCTTCCGGCCACTGGGGGAAACTTCTTACTTGGATTGAAGAACTAACACATTTTAGTTTTTCTGTGTTTCTTTAGGATGCGCACAACAAGATGTGTTTTATGATGGGTGTTTTTCGTCACAAGTAATGAATAGACATCTCGTGATTTCCACAAAAGTGATGGGTTATTAAATATCAAATTCTTTTCTTTTCTAAACGGCGGAACTTTAATTTAATGCAAGTGTAGGCGTAAAGATAAATCATTTCAAGAGTAATTTAATAAAATAAGAAAAAAATACAATGCTAACAAGTTAATAAGAATAAACCCAATTGCCAAAGCGAGCTAGTTTCTAGTTTGGTTGGCATGTGACTGAGTCGAGGGGGGGACGAAGAGATCCGCAACTTTCACTGCAAAATTAAATTTTTTTTTCCATCTTTCTTTTTCTAGTAAGATTGCAAAATTAAATTTTTTTTTCCATCTTTCTTTTTCTAGTAAGATTTCAATATGATCCTTCGAGAATCTTTAATCCTCCTGTTTGTCATGCTATGAATATAGGTAGGCAAATCACGCCATTTCTTTTGAAGAGTAGCAAACATGTGGAACCCAAAAATGCCAAAATTTACAAGTATCACTGTCTTTTAATTAGGGAGAACATATAATTCCCATTAAAAAAAACAAAATTAGGGAGAACATATAATTAATTATCACTTTAAATTTACATATATAGCATATAGTATCACTACTACCCTTTAGATTTCAGTATACAGTCTAGTCTATAATTTTGTTTCTTAACCTTGAATGTACTGAACATTACATCAAGAGCATACAAGTTCTCACAATTTTTTTTCGAAAGAGAAACCATTTAATTAAGGAAAGTAGGTGAGAAAATACCAAGATAAAAGACAAAACAAAAAACAAAACTTAGATTAAAATGGAAAATTTAATAATAATCGTCGCTGTAATTTTTAGTTGTGGAAAAATTAATGCTAATCGAAAAAGTGAAACAAACTGTTGGAAAAATTAATGTATCATCGAAAAAACTAGATCCACGTGAAAACGGTAGAGCCGGTAAATGTAATAGAATTAAGTTAGTTACTATATTTGTTTAATTATTTATTAAATCTTATCATTTAAATATTAATGTAAATATTTGTATTAATTGACAATCCATTTTTATTTAGAAAAAATACATTTTAAAATATAATAATAAATGTAATAGAATGATATTTATTGAGGGCAATTTAAAAACAAATCTTGGAAATATAGCTTTTTAAAAATGAACTTTGTGACAATTTATGTTAGAAATTAGAGGAGATGGATTCAAATCTAAAGATATACTACCTCCTATTTAGTCTTATGCCAAGCCATCAGAATCGTTGGAAAATGGCTGCCACTTTGCATGTCTCATGATTCTTGATTCAATGGTCGTGGAAAATGGGGAAGTTAGGCGATTAATATGACAGTTTTAACATCTAGTCCTCGAGCTCTATTTTGTTTGAACTTTCTGGTCAGATTTTAAGAGTAAATCATAGATCGGACAATATGCTTTCAAAGTATCATACTTTGGATTAGACGATATCCTTCTTTTGTCACGTGGTATGTCATTTCACGTCCTTTAACATTGGCCCCCAACTTTATAGAGTTTGAGAATTTAATTGATACAACTTTTCAAAGGATAGGTTGGATATGACATGTACGTGGCGTGATGACATGTACGTGGCATGACAGAACGCCACGTACGCGTCTTGAGTTGATGACATTTCATGTCACGCTCCTAAAAACAATCACTTGATATGACTTCTAACGATGCTTTTAATGCACATGAGAATTGAAGTGAATTGCGTGCGCTGATTCTAACGGATATACCTCTTGGTTGGAAGTAAATAATGACAATTACTGCTGAGCTATACTCACTTTAGCTTAGATGTAGACCATTGATTGTGTTGTAGATCAGATGACTGAGGAATAGTCAAAGTTATAAATACGAAACTTTTTTTTTCATAAGAGGCGCGCTTATTAAGTCTCCAAAATTTTCTCTCAATTCGACATATTCTCATAGTCGTTCCATGTTCGATCTTAGGTTAGTACCCTCTTCTTTATCCTTTTATTTGTATTTCTTCCGAAATTTAGATCACTACTACTACAATGTTTGACTTAGATCACAATCATAACCTAGAATATTTGGCTTAGACCATGGTCATACGACTATGGTCTATTTGAAAAGACTAGATTTTTCGACCACATTCTATGGGAACTAGGAGTGTTCAAAAAACCCAATGACCAAAAAAAATTGATGAACCCAACGGATTGAGTTGAGTTATAAATTTATTTGGGTTGGTTTAGGTTTAAATAAATAAAAATGGGTTGGTTTAAAAGGTTCACCTTAAATAAGTTTAGGTTGAACCGAACCATCCCGAACTTATTATTAATTTTAAAATCATTTCTTTTATTTATCATAAAATTTTATATGAGATATATTTGTTTTAATTTTATTTCATTCAATAATTCTTTATGGATGATTTATTCTTACAACAATTTTTTAAAAAAATTATACGTTTTTAAGGTTTAATTTTTCACCATATAAATAAACGTTGACTTACAAATTATGATTAAATGTTCAAAAATATGTAAATAAGTGTTTAAGATATTGACATTTACTTTTTTTTTTTTTCAGTATACAATATTTTGAATGAGTGACCTAAATGATCCAAACCACCCATATATTTCATGGTAGGATTGAGTTGCTATTTAGATATTATAATTACGTAAAAGGATTCAATGTACAAAATTTTACACTTTTGTCATAATATAACCATCTTTAATCTTTAAGATTACCCATCAACAATTTACCTTATATCATTCTTTATTTACACCTAAATATTAATAAATTTATGAAAATCAAAATTGTTTATTTGGTAGGTTAGATTTTAAATCTCTTATTTTATGCTCATTTAGACTTATTTCCAAAAATAAAATACCCAAATAATCCTACCGTTTCTTTATTTACTCATTCGGTTTCTCGTTCTTCCACGTGTTTCTTCTTCCACTGATTTCTCCTTCTTCCCCAAACAACATTCTTTCTGGTCGTTTTCTCCGTTTATTGTCTTGTAACAGTCCACAGTAGGCCGTCGCGTAAAGTCATTCCGTTCTCATTGCCGGTCGTTAACTCAGTTTATTTTGCAGCAAATCGTGCAGTTCCTAGAAGACCGGTTTCTTCATTGTCGTTGCCGGATGCAGTTCGTAGAAGACTAGTTTCTCCGTTGTCGTTGCCAGATGCCCGTCAAAGTGAACGTTTGTTAGTCTTCGATTTCGGTTACCCCATTTATTAAAAAGAATCTAGGATCTCAGAAGGCTATATTTTTCATACCCATATATTGTCCATACCCAATATAAATAGCTCATTATTGAGAAAGATTCAAATATGATTTGAGTGGTTCGAAATAGTGTGAATTCTTCTATATATAAGGATATAACATATATCTACAACTACAACTAAGTACCATTTTGGTAGTTCTAGGAACTCAATAGTCGGATATATATTTAGCATATAGGTTTATCTTGTAATTGTATTGGATTGGATTGCATTTGTTAGGTTAATGTTAATAAGAGCAATTCATAATAATGAAGTATGTGCTAGGATATCTAAATTGATAGAATATGTTAATGTTATATGTGGATATAATATATATCTATACTATATAAGTTTAGATTGAAACTTCAATAGTTAAAGATTATATCCGGATATATTTTATATCTATTATTAAATACCAAATTGCAAGATTAAAAAAAAAAAAACTAAATGAATACTTCTATATTCTATCCAGATAACATCAAGTAGCAAAGAACTTATTCTCACAAAAAAAAAACTAAAGGAATCCTTCTATATTTTACGATCACCAACCAAAGGAAATCATGTGGAAGAATCTTCTTCTCATCAAAAAAAAATTAAAGCAGCAACCATATAGAAGGTTTTGAGCAGCAGTAAACCGTGAAAAGAAGAAAAACGTGAGCAGAGCAATATTTTAAAAAACGTGAGCAGAAGCAAAACTTCATCTTAGTATTAGTGCATGCAGTAGTAAAATGTGGGAAGAAATTGATGTTGAAAGCTCGTGGGAAGAAACGAAGAGACGGAAAATCGTGGGTATATTTCCAACTATTTTGAATTTGAAATCATGGTAAATCTACGCATTAATTAATTTAGAAATTGAAATCATCATAATCTTTTTTATAATTAATATAAGCTATCAATGTACTAATCTCATTCAATAAGTGAATCAAGGGATTAATGTTAAAATTGATATGGAGCCCACAATAATTAAATGATTATGTCTACAATTTAGGGATTTAAATATTTTAGATTGCAACAAAAAAAATTTAACAATAATAAATATAAATGCAATAAATAAGGATAAAATCAGTATTATAAAAAAAATCCTACATGCAGAAATCTAAAAGTGTAAAATTAGAAAATTTTAGACATTTCGAAGACATTATCTCTTCATTATTTAATAAGAGTTGTTTGGAACGAGTAAGTTTATAATCCAAACAATTGGGTTGGTACAAATTAAAAAGTACTTCGAACCAACCCAACTCAACCCATGAACCCCTTTAATGGGTGCTATAGTCTATACAACTAAAATGTTATCACAGCCTATGACAATTAATAAGATGATTCCTGAATTTTCCCAAAACTAAATTAATAGTACCAAAAAAAAACTTGGTAATTTTGATTAACTAAATCGTCGAGGACTTCATTATATAGTAAGATAGTAGATGTCTAAGAAAGTCAGCTTCAATGAAGATCTTATAAACTTTGTTAAGGATCCCACCTTGAAAAAGATAAAGAGATTTTATAAAGATTTATAATATATATGAGTTACTCTTCTCATTGTCAATTGATTTGAAATATAACTCCATGAATATTGATATGGTATTAGAAGCTAAAAAGCTCATATGAGCTATTAATCCAAGAATAATATGGCATTTTGAAATGTAAGCACAGAACGAAAACTAAACTTAGAGACCAAAAACCAAAAACGTATTCAATAACTAATCATTTGATGTTTCATTTTATCATCATAAACTGATAAAAGTACTTCTCAATCAAGCGTCAAAGCCAAATAGTGTTTTCTTATTAGTTTTGACTTTTTTTCAAAAGCTTTTATTTATTACCCCACACAATAAACATGATGATTTTGAGAAGTCTCTTTACCGTAAGTAAAAGCACTCCCAATCCAACAATACCTACAATTAGTTTTCATTTTAAAATGGAAAAGTAAGATGAATAGCTTAAACAAATTATAAATTGATTAAATAGGAATTCTAAATCATAAGAATTCTAGAAGTGAAAATTGCAACAATCCGCTTGGTCAAATATACATCTATAACCGAGTCACGGAACTGTAAATCAAATCGTGGATTGTTTAAAACATTTTAACGATGAACAAATGGAAGAAGAAAAGATTCATTGCTTAATCCCATAGAAGACACAACCTTGACACCGAAAAAAATTAAATACAATATGGTGATTGTTTAGAAAATTCTAATAGTTGACTCGACTCGACTTGCTAATCTTCGTCTTCACTTTCACCACTGTATGAAACTAGTCCTATCGTAGCAGCTTCATGAGGTCTATCACCAATGCTATTAGGTGTTTTTTCTGACTCTGAAGGCTCATTTGAAGCTTTTTCTGGGCTTCTGGGTTCGATTCTCGCTTTCTTTGCCTGTGGCTTTACTTTAATAATCATACTCGGTGCTCGAGTGGCTGGAGTTTCTCTCCTAACTGATGTCTTTTCCTGCAAACAGTTGGGGTAACATTAGATGGTAATTGGTATAAGAGAACCGTCACTAGAGCTGCTCAACTCGATCACGAACAGACCACCACGATGAACATACTGGTGCCTGTGTGCGTGTAAACAGAAAACCTCTAATAATAAAACCACCATTTAGCATACTTTCTAATGCCAATAGAACCACCTAAAAATGTAAGAAATTAGTAATATCCATGAGCTTTAGTTGATCTTAGAATTTATGAATATGGTTCTTGCTATTGGAGGCAGCCTAAGTCAACAATAATGTATTTTCAGTACTCATTCTGAACATTTTCTTAATGGCTTTGAGCAATCCCAGAATTATCGATTTATCGTGCAAAAACGTGCAAGCCCTCGTACACCTACACCTGAAGATATTGGAAGCACATAGAACTTGAACTAAACCGACCTGAGCTGTGGGAGCAGGCGGGGTTACTTCCTTCAGTTCATGCAACATAGTAGATTGTGCTGCTACTGCTGCCTGAAAGAACACCAAGAAACAGTGCTTGAGAAGAAACTCAAAGTGGGTACTTACTTGAAGTAATATCATTAAGCAGTAAGCAACAGGCAACCTAAAACAGAATTAACTACAAGCGTGATAATTGGTTATTTATATCAGTAAGAAGAATATTCCTACAGGTAGATGGCCATTTTTCTGCAACCTTCATCTGTTATTAAAAAATTGGAAATTTGTAATAGATAACTAAAATATTTGCCCGTATTTGCAAATATAGCAACAAACTCTTGGGGTTTGCATATATGACAAAATATTTGATATCTAATTTTCGATTTTTTTGTTACTCTGATTTTTCCCTTCTAGATTTTTAGGTATATATATATCATTGTTTAAGCTCCATATTCATTAAGGGTATATTGAAGTTTCACTTTCTTCTACGTGGGTTGGGCCTCCAAATTTTACTATTTTTGGAAAATTGAAAAGTGGTCGCTACTTTTGCAAATTCCTGCTAATTTTGCAAGCGCCCCTAAAAAATTATTGGGAAAAGACAGGCCTATTATGAACAATTATCAAATTAGAAATATAAAAGGTCACAATAAATCTCCATAACAAGGGAAATACTGAACTTGATTCGCTTGATGAGGACCTCCTTAATGATCCTAAACTCACTGAAATCTGTTATCATGTAGAACTTGTCAATCTTAGAGCTAAATCACTTGTATAGATAACTACTAAACTCAGATGCCGCAAGGATCATCTCTTCTGTAGTAATGTATCTAAAATCTAGAGTAAGATAGCGGTTCAACTGTTGGCCACTATTATACAAACATATAATAAATTGTTACATTAATCTGATGTTCTTTATAAAACGAGAGCATTATCGTGCAGTAACCCTCTAAAGCTCAAGTATAATGTACCAAAAAATAGTGCCAATTTCAGTGAGGTGAAGCAAACAAGATTAAAAAAACCAGCACATGAGATAAAAGAAATAAAGTTTTACAAACATTCAAATATTATGAATCTCTCAACAATAAAGAGTCAAAGTCAAGCAAAT